TGATAAAGCTCCTTTATTATTTTTCAAATAATTTTCTCCCCGTATAATTTTTGGGCTCCACATTATATATATATATATATATATATATATATATATATATATATATATATATATATATATATATAAACTGATTTTAAAAAATCAGTTAATTTATAATATTTATGCTGTAAGTTTACATTGAGTACTGTTTTGTAAAAATAGAAATAAAAAATATCAATTAGAACACCGGATTATATATCTTACTGTTCTTTCTTTATATATATATAGAGAGAGAGCAGTTATGAATGTACGAGATTCATGGAAAATTGAAGTTTATAAGCAGTAAATTCGACCTTGTCTACCGAACGCTTCTTTGTGGCCGATCGGTAAGGCACGTCAGCGAAAATGACGGTTCCGTATAGGATGCAGGTTCGAATCCTCTCAAAGAACGAATATTTTCTATGAAAATTTGTCGGACATTCAGGCCGGTAAATGTTATTTAATACTGTTTATTATAAACAGAGCATTTACTTAAATACTTGTATCTATAAAAAAGAGCGTTGAACATAAAAATGTCTTTAATAAATAAATTGTCGGACTTTGTCCATTTCTTAATATATATATATATATATAAGGCTCAAACACTAATATTCCATGGTTATAATTTATTACATTGGAATTATAATCACGATCCAATTCATCAGACCTACAAATTCCCCAAAAAATTTTTTGAATTTGTAGGTTTGATGAATTGGATCGTGATTATAATTCCAATGTAATAAATTATAACTATGGAATATTAGTGTTTAAGCCTTTTTTATTATATCCTTACTCTCTCCTGGACATTGAGTTCTACCTGGATTCTATTCTCTTGGGAATTTATTTTATATATATATATATATATATATATATATATATATATATATATATATGTGTGTGTGTGTGTGTGTGTGTGTGTGTGTGTGTGTGTGTGTGTGTGTGTATACTAACCACTAATATTACCTACATATATATATATATATATATATATATATATATATATATATATATATATACAGTGGACAAAGGAATTTTGGATGCATCTGGTATAAAGAGAGGGTAAAATGTAACCTCTCAGCTGTCGATGTGCCTCGAGCTCTGTAGAAAATTAAATTTCGGCATTGAATGACCCGTAAGGAGTTGATATGACATTAAACAATCTAAGAACTGTAATGAAGTCCCAAATTATATAGCACTAGTATACCTAATTTGTTTACCGCCTAAGAATTAATAAAGGGTCTAATACTGACTCCTTTGTCAAATCCATTACCACCCACTAACTGATTGTTCATTGCATCAGCTAGACGTTTTACAAATGCTTCATAGATGCCTTCTTGAACCAAAATTCGATTAACGTAGATGCAGGTCTGTAATAGGAAAAATAAATTAAGCAAAGGTTAAAACATGTTACTAAACTTGAAAGAAACTAATTTAAAAATGAACTTGGTTTTCAGACTGCATACTGACAAAAGTTCACTGTATTTCCCAAATTCTATAAGTATTATTAATATAAGTACTTATTCAGGTTTTCTATATACCTTGGAGGATTACCAAGCATGAACGTAAAACATGCCTATTAGCATGAAAAACACTTTCCTCAAATTAATCCATATAATATCCTACAATTTTTTATTTTTTTAAATCAAATTGTGTTCCAAAATATAACTTCAACAAAACTACAACATAAAACACACATATATCACCGTCTCTAGTAATTATGTCTACACAAACATGTATATGCACAAAAGCTGAGTATCATCTACCATGTATTTAATTGCGAAAGCAGAGTAACATATAACATAATTTTATTGCTTCAAAGCTCCCAAGAAAATGAAATTTCGGTATTAAATGCCCCATAAGGAGTTGATATGTCGTTAAACAAACAAATTAAACAAGACACGTGACAAGAGTGGGACTCCTCTTTAACTGGACAAGAGTAGAACTCCTCTTTAACTGGACAAGAGTAGGATTCCTCTTTAACTGGACAAGAGTAGAACTCCTCTTTAACTGGACAAGAGTAGGACTACTCTTTTACTGGACAAGAGTAGGACTACTCTTTTACTGGACAAGAGTAGGACTCCTCTTTTACTGGACAAGAGTAGGACTACTCTTTTACTGGACAAGAGTAGAACTCCTCTTTTACTGGACAAGAGTAGGACTACTCTTTTACTGAACAAGAGTAGGACATCTCTTTAACTGGACAAGAGAAAATAAACTGGACAAAGGCGGGTTCTTATATTGTCTATAATTTTGGGAAGAGTCATCAACTTTTCAGAAGCAATTAAATCATACCTTTGTGTCTTTGATCTTGCCAAAATTGTGTCGCAAAATCAGAAACACAAAGAAGATATTAAATTATCCGGAAGAAAAAAAAATCTGAAAAGTTAATTCTTCTTCTCAAAATTATAGAAAATCTCTTAATTTCACTTGAATACATCTTTGAGATTGTCTATTTCTTTTGTAATCAGACAATATTATCCATTTCTCGATATTGTTACTGCTCAACGTCATTATCATTTTTAACAGTTATTTTATTCATTCAATTCACAGTCATAATTCAATTTCTTTCTAACAATTCCCATTTTGTATTTGTTTTCTTTTTTGTCTTTTTTGTCGTTTAAAAATTGAATAGTATTTACTATATTACTTGTGAACGAGGAAGAAAAGAAGAAAAATACGAAGTACAAGAATTCTTACATTTACAATCAGAAAGAGTTTAAACTTTTTGGATACTTAACGAGGAAAGAAGGCATGGAGAATTTAACACCGACAGGATATAATGAAGGCAAGAAATGCAAAGGAAAAAGCCTAACGAATTTGAGCGAATGGATAACAGAACAAGGACAAAAGGGGGTGGTAAATAGTTATTTAGGGTAACAAAAATCGTGGAGAGCCATAACGTTTTGATTTCGAGGAAAGACAGAAGAAAATCTTATACCATAGAGGCTGTTTCATGAAAGAAAAGAAAAGAAATGTAACAATACGATTTCTCACACATCTTTAAAAGATAAGTAGATAAATTTCGTCCACTTAGTTATCTGAGTTTCATGGGAATTTCGTCTCCAGTCCATCTTTGAGTAAACTTAAGTACCAGTGTTTTTTTTTTGTGTTTTTTTTATTAGGATTTATGTCTACAGCTGCCTAAATGATTCTAGATAATCATAAAAAGTAGAATCTTTTGAAGAAGCTGACCACCCAAAAAGCCAAATGAGTGGTCTCAAACCTTCCGGAACACAAGTGGATGGATAGGGGCCGGGACCCCAGCCATATAAGCAGAAAGAAGCAGGAAGCCAAGAGGTCCAGCTGTCAGAGAAGTAGGTAACTGACCAGTGAGTGAGTAGCTGCTAAGCGGCCGGATAAGAAGAGACCATTGACAGTTAAGGAGATAGCAGTTCAGCCGAAGGAGATAGCAGTTCAGCCGAAGGAAAGATAGCTGGCTAAGAATTCGTATTGTTGCTATTTCCTAATCAGTGTGTCGTGAATCAATTGTCGTTATGCTTTGCTGGATACGATCACAGCCAACTGGACAAATCTGTGAGAAGAGCGAAGTCGGGTGTATATGTAGATACAGCCGATATTGGAATGTCACCACAGGTGCAGTAAACGACGGGCGCGCGCGGTACGTCGTCATGAATTTCGTCACAAACTTCGTCACAGAAAGGCGCTCGTGTGTTTAACGTCTGCTTCAGTGAAATGTAAAAACCTTGTCAATTTTTAATCTTTTTTTATTTGTATTCTCTTACTTCTCTAAATAATGCTCTGCATTCATATTTACGTCTGTCATTGTAATATTTTTTAGAGTTTTTAAGCTCAAATATCTTATGATCCATGGTTATTTCACAGTCGTAGAACTAGCAAGATTATTAAATTAAGATTCATCAGAAAATTCAATTGAGAAAACCGTTAAATTTTTACGGATGCTGCTACTGACACATTTGAATCATTTTGCCCCAAGCAAGGCGATGATGCCACTAAGATGTAAGATTTAAACTGAGAGCGTCAATTGGTTGGTGTACTGCAGCTTATATTGTGATGATGATGATGATGATGATGTTTATTACTATTATCATTATTAATAATAATAATTCTGCTTCTTTCTTAGTTCTATAGTTAGCGCGTACGTATGTTACACCCTGCCAATGCCTCGTGAATAATGGACTATTATTATAGACTAAGACAGAAAAGACATATCGTTTTTTGGTTAAAGAAAGAAAGTAAAAAAGGAAGAAAGAAAGAGACAAGGAAATAAAAGAAGGAAAGACAGAAATAAAAAATGAAAGAAAGAAAGAGGCGACGATAACATTCATGTGTTTAACGTCGGCTTCAATGAAATGGAAAAAACCTTGTGATTTTTAATTTCTTTCATTTGTACGCTTTTACTTCTTTAAAAAATAACCAAAACTTATGATTTTTTATTGTAATATTTTTGTTAAATTTGTTAAGCTCAAATAGTTAATGATGCAATAATGTATTTTCCCTGAGCATTCTATAGCCAGAGAACTTGCAAGGAGCTTATTCAATCATTAACTTAAGAATCCACAGAAAATTAAAAACCAAAATGAATCAAACCAATGAATAGCTCAGCCCAAAATTTGTGGATTAATTTCAGAAGTCAGAAAGATGACCGTGATGCGATTACTCCTGGCTGGATTAGTCGGCGGGTTGGGGAGGGATTCTAATATTTTTAGGGGCCCTGAATTCTTAATGATACCAGAAATAAACGTTACAGACGAAGCTTCCCTACAAGGATGTATGAACATACGTTATTTTAAATAGAATTGTTCGGTTGGCGTCGCACATATACGTTATTGTTTTATAATAAGCTGACTAAGGATCGTTACTAATCTCTGTTACTTTAAGGGCTTAAGGCCATATCACGTTGAAACATCGGTTCCCGTACAATTACCGAAGCCTGGTCGTTACTGTTTGGGGATACCAGGGTGCTATGAGTTTTGATTTGCGGATTATATAAAGGGTGTATACCATATCAGGTTTAAAACCGGTTCTTGTACGACCAACGAAGTTAAGCAACGTCGAGCCAGGTCAGTATCAAGATGAGTGACCGCTTGGGAATACCAGATGCTGTAAGCTTAGATGTGCGGGTGGTGTAATGGATAATGCCTCGTAATGGGCGTCACGGTTTCAGTCACCCTCCCACCACCGTAAAGTTGCTTACTCCGCCTTTTCTATAAATACTTTCATGACAGATTAGCAACAAGATCTTATCAATTTATAGTTGAATTGGTTAGATGTAACTGTAAGTTCTATGCTAACAATTTCTTTTCTCGCACTTCTCGCTTGTGGAACTTTCTTCCAGCTTTTTTGCTTTCCAGTCAAGTTAGATCTTCAAAAATTAAAATGTAATGTCAATCGTTATCTACTGCTTTCCTAATTTCTCTTCTGCTGTTCTCTCTTCTCATTAATGCTTTTGTCTTCTTTCATACCCATAACTTCGTGGGTCTTAGTGGCTTTATTGCCTTGCTTGGGTGAATCATATCTTCTACCCTCAGCTTTGGTGTAAGTTTGAATCACTAAACCATTATTTTTTTTAAAAAAAAAGGAAAGATAAAAAACAATTCTTAGAATAAAAATATTTTCCGGCTTTAAATAACCTGCAAAGGGTTGATAAACCGTAGAAAACGAATCAATCAATCAATGAAATACTGATTAGCTACACAGACGTCTTTTTAGGTTTATTTACATTCTCTGGAATATAAATGTATAAATATCCGTGCTCACAAAGTGAGGGATCAATAACCCGGCACCCCCATGAATGATTACACTATAGGTAGTAAGTATCTATAAAGTCAACTGTCTATGAGAGACTCGAGGAAGAGTGAGAGCGAGACAACGCCAGCACGTCCGACCTTCCTATTAGATCGACCAGTGTGTATCACTGTACCGTATTTCATATTGTACTTATTGTGTAGAATAAACCTTTCTTCTAGTATCCACCTCAAGAATAAAAGAACGAAAGACAGAAATAAAATTTTCAGTACGAAAAATGGATTCAACACTCTACAAAACATAGGAATAAAGGTCTAGATGATGATTTTCTGATAAATACAAAGAAAGTTATTTCAACTATGTTCACTCACATCATAGCAGCAGAATATTTAAGAACAAAATTCATGTTTAAAGTTAATGTTTTGGTTTTGTAGTAACTTGTGGTGTTGGGGAAAATATCTCCTCTACTAAGATGGGTATAAATGATACATTCACTGAGATATTTGAAGGTTTTAATATTTAGTCCCACATACTGAAGTTTTTTTTTCTTATCAGGGTACATGCCTTCACTGCATACGTTCCAATTCTAGTTCATCGTTCTTGTTCTGGAAAGGTATAAACTTTTCCAGAGCCTTTCTAGAGTCCTATTTCTTGCAATACTTGATTAGAGATGTTAATTTTTTGTTCAAGATAATTCTTATCCCAAAAGGACAGAATTTCGCTGGCTTTAAATAACCTGCAAAGGGTTGGCATGTTATAGAAAACGAATCAATCATAAAAACTTCATGGTTGATTAGTTAGACTTATATCACTAAACCATTATTATCGTCAAAAAATTACAATCTAAGTATTTTCTGGCTTTAAATAACCGGCAAAGGGTTGATAAGCCGTAAAAGACAGATCAATTTCTCTATGACTTCTTAATTAGTCCCATGTGTACAATTTATGAATTCCTATTTATAGTAAAACGTGAGGGATCAGTTTACATATTGATTGTAATAGAGAATTGATCCATTTTATATCCACATTATAATTGTTTATCAAATTCTAATTAAGTATGAATCTTGGTTTATTAGTGAGACATTTGATGTAATGGAATAACCCGGCACCCCCATGAATGATTACACTATATGTAGTAAGTACCTATAAAGTCAACCGTCTACGAGAGCCTGGAGGAGGATGCGTGAGAGCGAGACGACACAAGCACGTCGGACCTTCCAATTAGTGACACTCACTACTAGATTGACCAGTGTGTATAACTGTACCGTATTTCATATTGTACTGGTTGTATACAATAAACCTTTCTTCTAGTATCCACCTCAAGAATAAAAGAACGAAAGACAGAAATTAAAAAAATCACAAGGTTTTTTCCATTTCATTGTTCTATTTCTATTGTTTTTTTGTTTTTTTTCGGATGGATTTATTTGATTTATAAAACGTCGAAATAAACAATACAACACGGGATATAACAACACTAAACCATAATTATCAAAGAAAATCTTAGAATGTAAAAGTATTTTCTGGCTTTAAATAATCGGCAAAGGGTTGAGAAACCGAAAAAAAGAAAAGAATCAATACAACTTTGAAAAAATGTTGCAATATTAAGTTTGGTAAGAAAAACTCATATTTGATTTTCGAAGCTACATTATAAATTGCCAATGACATTTTTGTTTTGTTTTTTGTTTTGTGTGGGGGAGGGGAATCCATCGTCAGTATTTGAGAAGCATTTAGATATTTTTTTCCCCCTTTTTGCATTTTTACTTTCAGATGTAAATCCGATGGGGATTTCTCTGTTGGAAACTTCATGAATAAAGAATCCTTGAAAATTAATAAACGCCGTCTGCGGAGAATGAAAAATGATTTTATCGCAAAGATATCTTCAAGGCAAAGATTCGCGGCCCAAGGTCGTAATACAAATTGTCACATCTCTTCAGAAAGACGAAAAACAGAATTTCATTTTTTTGTTTTTTTGTTTTTGTTTGTAGTTCTTTTTTTTTCTTTTTGTTTTTTCGGATGGATTTATTTGATTTACAAAACGTCGAAATAAACAATAGTGGGGAAAAATCTGAAAAACTGAGTCACTCTGAAGAAATTATTTTGACAAAATTTAATTAGATTATTCTCTTTTAATGAGAAAAGAAGAGGAATTTGTCATCAGAAACAAATGCAGTCGGTCACTTGAAGAAAAGATTTCTTTAAAAGAAAAACAAAAGTACAAAAATAATTTAATCGAATAGAATAGGAATTGGTAAAGGCAAGATATAAAAAAATATTTAAAAACAAAGAAAACGCAAAAATGCTTATATCGATGGCTAAAAATATATTGACGTATTTGTGCTTGACGAGGATTAAAACAAGACTTTCACATTTCTAATTAAAAATAGGGATTTAAGGCTGGAGCCCCTCGTCTACTGTGAAAAAACAAAATTCACGAAAAGAACTTAAATGTTCCATTTAAAACATTTAGACTTATTTGGTTGAAGGTGAATTTTCAGTACCAAAAATGGATTCCACACTCTACAAAACATGAGAATAAAAGTCTAGATCATGATTTTCTGATAAATGCAAAGAAAGTTATTTCAACTGTGGCTGTTCACTCACATCATAGCAGCAGAATATTTAAGAACACAATTCGTGTTTTAAGTTAATGTTTTGGTTTTGTAGCAACTTGTGGTGTTGGGGAAAACTATCTCCTCTACTAAGATTGGTATAAATGATACATTCACCGACATATTTGAAGGTTTTAATATTTAATCCCACATACTGAAGTTTTTTTTTCTTATCATGGTACATGCCTTCACTGCATACATTCCAATTCTAGTTCATCGTTCTTGTTCTGGAAAGGTATAAACCTTTCCAGAGCCTTTCTAGAGTCCTATTTCTTGCAATACTTGATTGGAGATGTTAATTTTTTGTTCAAGATAATTCTTATCCCAAAAGGCCAAAATTTGGTGAAAACATCGCACAAAGAAGCATTTACAAGCTGATGGGTGTTCTCCTGAAAATGTATGCGCTTTGCGCAAAGCACCATCAAGGGTTCATTCACTGAAGAAAAGAAAAATGTGCCGACATTGTAATGAAAGAGAAATCAGTGTGCCAAGTTCGTTAGGTTCACTTTTGCACAAATACTCTTAGGAAGATATAAATCCATCTCTTCTCCTCCAGCTAGGAGTTAAATAACAGGACAGACTTGAATACACCTCCTCCCGCAACCGTGGATACTTGTGCGGGTGTGTGGACTCGAATTAGCGCACAATAAGTCAGAGATGTGCAATCCGCCTCATGTACCTTTAGAAGGAGGAGAGGACCATCTGTTATCAAAAGCCTTTGCATAGTTTACTCGGAAAATAGAGACAAGCAGATACTTGTATGTTTTATTTTTTGTTTTGTTTTTGTTTTTGTTTTTGTTTTTGTTTTGTTTTGTTATTGGTGGGGGTGCCTATAAAGACACAACGCAACCATTGCACAAAGCTTTCTACCGAGCGGCCAATAATTACCCAAAGTTGCATTTCGATTCTCAAACGTTTCAGTTTGCCCCGAAAGCTGGGAAAGGGTTTGCTGCATGCTCACAGGCTAACAAGATGAAAGACAAATGTCACTTTTATAATGTTTGTTTTTAAACAATGTTTTATAATCTTTTATGATGTTTGTTTTGAAAGAATGTTTTCTAACATAAGTTCTGTTTGTTTTTAAACAATGTTTTATAATGTTTGTTTTTATTTCCATAATAGAGTAAAACAAGAAAATCTATAAATAGAAACAAGTATAATAATATTTTTGTTCTTTCGTAAACATACAGCGTGACCGTCGCCAATGATATCCCATCATTGTGTTTCCATTTTCGTAAATGTTGTTGCATACCGAAAGCTGGGAAAGGATCTGCTGCACGCTCAGAAGTTAATAAAGATTAAAAGCAAACACCACGTCGGGAATTGAGAACGTGAACTGTTTCCAGTGTTATATATAGATGTTTCATCAGGGCTTCGCCTGCTCGCCTTGGTAGTTAAGTAGGTAGGTAGATGACACTTTGGGCAAATTCTATGTTGATTGCAGAGATCAGCTCTTCCACCTACCAACTACACGACTATCGACACGTGGCTGGTAATACAAATTGGCGGCATCGGAAACACTCAACCAACTTCTACGGCTCCTGCCAAAAGCGAACCAGAACGGACTCCGAACCCAAGCATGTTAATATTGACCAGCACCCGGAAAATTCTGAGTAAACAGAAGGACACATAGTGTTCATTCCTCTTCAACTCTGGGACAACATTGTTACAAAGGAAACTAGCCTCGAGGCCAAAAAAATCTTTCCGTCCAGGATGTGAACAACGTAACTTTCAATCAGTTCGCACAACGGCC